ACGTTATAGAGGCTAACATCTGTACTATATCTTCATGGGTATTAGATACCGGAAGTGCCTCACACATTTGTGGAAATGTGTAGGGACTAAGAAGAAGTAGGATGCTAGCTAAGGGAGAAGCGGATCTATGCGTCGGAAATGGAGCAAGAGTTGTTGCATTGTGTGTTGGCGTTTATGATTTGCATCTTCCTTCTGGACTTGTTTTAGAATTGAGTAATTGTTACTATGTTCCTGCGATTAGCAGAAACATTATTTCTATTTCATGTCTGGATTTGGATGGTTTTCGATTTGTGATTGAGAACTCGAGTTTGATGATTTATCGAGACGATATTTACTATGGTAATGGTTATCTAGTTAATGGTTTGTACGTCTTGAATGATCAGCCTTCAAACTCAACATCATCCATCTAACTCCAAAGTTAAGCGTGCTGACTCTGGAGCAATCTCAGGATGGGTGACCTACTGGGAAGTGTCTCGGTATGCATGCGAGTGAGGACAAAACACGCTGAAAGGTCTCGGGTTGCTGTGTGAGGGCAGTTTCGACAATTCGTAGCGGTCTCGGGTCGTTACAGATCTGATCAAAACCTGATCTTCCATGTCTTACAAAGCAGAATATAAAAGGTATAAAGATGTTACAACAGCTAGTTTTGTAATTAATGATCAACTCATGCATGAAAAGCACAATAAATGCATTGTTTGTCCCAAAACATGTGATGTCCAATGCCTTGTGTTCTAAACAGCTTCCTTTGTATTTCTTCAAGCATAATCCACGTCTAGGGTTCCCAAGATAGCCAAGTTGCACGTCTTCAATGATCCAAGAGAGATGTCGTTCGGATCGTTGGCTCGGAGTTCGTCCAATGTGCGAGAAACGAACGTATTGATACGTTGCCATACAGCTCGTGCCTTGGCTCGAGTAAGAGGTAGTTCGATTCGTGAAGAAGGCACTTGAGATATTCTTTCTTTTGGTTCTCCCTCAATTGTAGAATTGGTCAAGTGTTCTCCCGTGCTATCTGCAAGCTCCATATGCTCCGCAAGCTCCGTGTGCTCCTCCTTGTGCTCCTCCTCGTGCTCCTCCTCGATGTCCTCATCATTCCCTCCCTCTTGTGAAGATTTTTCCCTCCCTCTTGTGAAGATTTCGCCCACATAATGTATGAACCTGCATTAAAAGGAAGTAAATCAGTGATGTTAAATGTGCTAGAGACATTATAATTGCACGGTAGCTCAAGACGGTAAGCATTGTCATTAACTTTCTGAATCACTCGAAATGGACCATCGCCTCTAGGAGCTAACTTGGATTTACGCTTGTCGGGGAAACGCTCATATCGCAAATGTATCCAAACCCAATCTCCTTCCTTAATTTGGACAGCCTTGCGTCCCTTGTTCGCTTGGCGCGCATATTGCTCGGTCCTATGAGCAATGTTATCACGAACCGTTTGATGAAGTTGCTTAATAAATTCAGCCTTTTTCTCACCATCAAGGTTAACCATCTCGTCGTTTGGAAGGGCTATGAGATCTAGGGGAGTAATCGGGTTAAACCCATAGACGGCCTCAAAAGGGGAATGCCTTGTAGCGGAGTGTACGGCTCGGTTATAGGAAAATTCAATATGGGGTAAACAGTCCACCCAACTCCCTAACTTCTTACCGACGGTAGCTCGTAAAAGTGTTGACAAGGTACGATTCACTACCTCGGTTTGCCCATCCGTTTGCGGATGACAAGTGGTGGAATAGACGAGTTTAGTGCCGATCTTTTTCCAAAGTGTCCGCCAAAAGTGGCTTAGGAATTTTTAATCTCTATCCGAGACTATCGTCTTTGGTATACCGTGTAAGCGTACTACTTCCCTAAAGAATAGGTCAGCGACATGCTTAGCGTTGTCCGTTTTTGACAGTATAAAATGAGCCACTTTGGAGAACCGATCTATCACGACAAAGATGGAGTCCTTATGATTTATCTTGGGTAAATCTAGGACAAAATCCATCGATATGTCTATCCATGGGTGTGTAGGGATCGGTAATGGCATGTATAGTCCATGAGGATGTACTCGAGATTTCGCCCTATGGCACTCGATACACTTAGCACAATACATTTGAACATCTCTTTTGAGATGTGGCCAATAAAAGTGTTCTTGTACGATGACCAACGTTTTATCTACTCCGAAATGACAGCTAAGGCACCACCATGGGCCTCACGGAGTATCATATCTCGCATCGATCCTTGAGGGATGCATAATCTCTTATCTCGGAAGAGATATCCATCGTGTAAGAAAAATGGTTCATGTGCTCCATTCCTACATTCTTCTACGATGGCTTTGAAATCATGATCGGTCGGATATCGTTCTTTGAGAAGTTCGAATCCTAGCATTCGAGCCTCCATGACCGATAATAATACATGTCTTCGAGACAATGCGTCAACTACGATGTTTTCTTTACCGTTCTTGTATTTTATGATGTGAGGGAAGGTCTCGATGAATTCCAACCACTTAGCATGCCTTCTCTTAAGTGTGGTCTGTCCCTTAAGGTGCTTTAAGGTTTCATGATCAAAACGCACCACAAACACCTTGGCTAACAAGTAATGTTGCCAAACCTCTAAAGCTCTCACCAAAGCGTATAACTCTTTGTCATATGTGGGATAATTAAGAGTGGCCCCACTGAGTTTCTCACTAAAATATGCTATGGGCCTCTTCTCTTGCATTAGGACAGCTCCTATGCCGATCCCCGATGCGTCGCACTCTACTTCAAAGGTTTTGTCGAAGTTCGGAAGAACTAAGACGGGTGCGCTAGTGAGGCTGTCCTTTAGAGCTTTAAACGCTTTCTCTTGTGCTTCTCCCCATTCAAATGTCACGTCCTTCTTTATGACCGCGGTAAGGGGAGTTGCTATACTACTAAAGTCTCGCATGAATCGCCAATAGAAACTAGCCAAGCCATGAAAGCTACGCACTTGTCCTATCGTGGTAGGAGTCGGCCAATCCCTAATGGCTTTTATCTTTTCTTCGTCAACTCTCAGCCCTCTCGAACTGACCAAAAAACCTAAGAATATTATATCGTCCGTACAGAACGAACATTTCTTTAAGTTCGCATATAGGTTTTCTCTTCTAAGTGTGGTCAATACTTGTTCAAGGTGGGAGACATGGTCTTCTTCACTTCGACTACAAATGAGGATGTCATCAAAGTACACCACCACGAACTTTCCTATGAAGGCTCTCAAGACATGGTTCATGAGTCTCATAAATGTGCTCGGGGCATTAGTTAGCCCGAATGGCATAACAAGCCACTCATAAAGACCTTGTTTGGTCTTGAAGGCGGTTTTCCATTTGTCGCCCTCTCTCATCCGTACTTGATGGTAACCACTCTTTAAATCGAACTTTGAAAAGACCGTGGCTCCACTTAATTCATCAAGCATGTCATCTAGCCTAGGTATGGGATGCTTATATTTAACTCTTATGTTGTTTATCGCTTGGCAATCCACACACATGCGCCAAGTCCCATCTTTCTTTGGTACTAAAAGCACTAGAACCGCACATGGACTAAGGCTTTCTCGGATGTAACCTTTGCTCATAAGCTCTTGGATTTGTTTTTCGAGCTCCTTAGTTTCTTCGGGGTTCATCCTATAGGCTGGTCGGTTAGGCAAAGGTGCACCGGGTACGAGATCAATTTGGTGCTCTATCCCTCGTATCGGTGGAAGTCCAGCCGGTATCTCATCGGGGAAAATGTCCTTGAACTGCTCAAGAAGTCGGCTTATAGAAGGGCTATCATGGGACGTTTCGGTCCTTATGCTCATGAGGTCCTTGAAGACTAAGAGAAGTACATTTCGCTCTTGTTGAATAGCCTTACCGACTTGACTAGCTTTGAGATAGAAGTTAGCCTTCTTTGGCTCACTTTCCTTAGCTAGTTTGAGCTGCATCTCATGCACTTGAGATGGACTAAGAGGTGCTAGCGCAACTTTCTTTTTGTTATGAACAAAAGAATATTGGTTGGCTCGTCCGTCATGTGTCACCTCTCTATCAAATTGCCAGGGCATTCCTAAAAGTATGTGGCCGGCTTGCATAGGTACTATATCGCAAAGCACTTCATCTTGATACCTTCCTATGCTAAACGGAATCTTGACCCTTTCGGTCACTTTAATTTCCCCTTGGTTGTTTAGCCATTGAAGTTTGTACGGGTGGAGATGCTTCTCGGCTACTAGTCCTAATTTTTTGACCATATATGCGCTAGCAACGTTTGTGCAAGACCCGCTGTCTATAATCATACCGCATACCTTTCCTTGGATGGTACAACGAGTATGAAAGATGGTTTCTTTTTGGGCCATTTCGTCCGGGTTAGCTAACGTACTAAGCACTCGCCTTGTGACTAATAACTCTCCACTATCCGGATACTCGATCTCCTCTTCAAGTTCCCTACTCTCTTCCTCATCCATAGACTCGTACTCTCCTTTGTCCGTAATAATCATTACTCGAGAGTTTGGACATTCACGAGCTATGTGACCTCTACCTCGACATTTGTAACACATGATTTCGCGGGTCTTAGTGTCACGAGGCATTTCACAGGAGGGTTTTGCTCGGGAAATTTCCGTGGCCTTTCCTTTATCCCGTGCTTCTTGGGGACCTCCACTCTCGGGATTCTCTCGTCTAAGAGGTGGGGAGGGTCTGGTCATAGTGGAGTTTCTGGTAGGGTATGCTCGAGTCTTACTAAGCCTAGCGTTCTTTCGCTTTTCTTGTTGCTCGATCTGCACGGCTAAGTGTACAAGATCTTGAAGGTCACGGTAAGGATGGCGCTCAACGTTTCGAGCAATCTTTTCTTGCAGTCCATCTACGAACTGGGCCATCACCGTTTCCTCATCTTCGTCCAGCTCGAGTCGGCTCCTAATATGTTCGAATTCCTCGAAAAATTCTTCCACCGACCTAGTTCCTTGGGCTAGACGTCGATACCTTCTTTGAAGGTCTCTATGGAAGTGAGGTGGAACAAAACGCTTTCGCATGAGATTCTTCATCTCACACCACGTTTCAACCTGAGCGTAATGTCCTCGTCGACGCTCGACTACCTCACGATCCCACCACGTTAGAGCATTCTCGGCTAGTTGGGCGGCAGCATATTGTACCTTTTTACGCTCCGAATATGAATAACATTCATAAATGTTATCCATCTGTCGCTCCCAATCTAGATATGCCTCGGGGTCTACCTTTCCTAAGAAAATAGGAAGTTTAAGCTTAAGCTCGTTTCCTAAGAAAAGAGGAAGTTTAAGCTTAAGCTCATTTTGTCCTCGATGAGCTCGGGGTTGGGCTCGGTAAGGTTCATCTAAGTCGGGGTCATCGTATCTACGGTTCTCCCTATTCCTCTCTCTCGGTAACGCTCGTCTAATAGGTAGCTCATCACGATCAGAATCCTCATCCTCTATTCTACGTCTCGGTCTAGGGGCTCTAAGCCCTTGCGGCTCGTCATAATCCGATTCTTCTTCATGTACTGTAGCTCTTGCTCTAGGTGCTCTACGCCTAGGAGGTTCTGTTGGGTTTCCTGGGATCTCATGAGCGAATCTAATTCCTAAGAGATCGATTCTAGGGTTTGCGCAGCGGATATAAAACAAAAATTTTAATTAAACCCTAGAACCATGCTACTATTGAATCATAGAAACGTTAGAACGCTTACCTCAATCGATCCGGGGCCTGTATCAATTGATATGTTCGTCCGATCACTCTAGGCAGGAAGAATACCTCGCCCTCTACACGTATCCACACGTCGGGATGGATTCCAACACCTTGGAACTTGTCTGCTAGGACTAGAGATCTCGATCTCTCTTGTGTGCAAGGTTTTTGGAGGCTTAGGGTTTTATTTTTCTTCTTTTTTCTTCTTTTTTTTCTTTTTTTTTCTTTTTCTTTTTCTTCTTCTTTTTCTTTTACTTAAAACCCTAGAAGACATTATATAGACTATCCAAAAATCCTAATTTGACAAGGAATAGATTACTAGGAATCCTAATCTAATTAGGTTTCCTAAACCTATTAGAATTCTAATCTCATTAGGTTTCCTAGATGTAATAGAATTCTAATCTCATTAGGATTCCTATACATAACAGGATTCCTAATCCCATTAGGATTCATATTCCAATTAGGAATCTCAATCCAATTAGGATTCCTAATCGGGATAATTTAGCACACGTACTTGTCCATCCCTATTGTGTGTGACCCTGTAGGCTCATCCGGAATAGCAGTAAAACACAGAATCTCCATTCCGGGAATACAAGTCATAGGCGGTCTCTAGCAAGACACTATGACTACCTATCTCGAATAGAGTTTGTTTGTGATCATACGAAAGCCAGTGATGATTCCGACTGATGATCCTTTTGTATCGCGATATCATATGTCGAACATAAGGCATGGACAAGCCACCTTATCTGATTCGACTGCTTTCTCGTTCACTGAGTTCGACTGTCTGAAATAGACGACGTTCGTCTATAGTGCGGCCACACATTTCTACAGTCTTGCTCACACGAGGGGCCCAGCGATATCTCTCTCTTTTACGAGAGGTACAAATCCCGTATTGACTATCTACAATCCAGTACATGATTCGATAGTCCTCCTGTTATGCAGGACGTTTGACGTAATCAAAGCACGCAACTCCTCATGTTGGATTCTGTAGATATCTCAGATCTGAGGATCCAATCATGGAATCGTCGTATGAGATTCAAGTCATGACGCTAATCCATGTGACAATCTCATGCGGGTCAGTCCAGTATTCCGTTCTGCAACGAATACCTATGATTGTGATCGTATCCAATACCTATGATCATCTATGAATGATACTAAACTCCCTAGTCTTATGTCATTAAAGACGGGAGTTGTACCTCTCGTAAAAGAGAGAGATATCGCTGGGCCCCTCGTGTGAGCAAGACTGTAGAAATGTGTGGCCGCACTATAGACGAACGTCGTCTATTTCAGACAGTCAAACTCAGTTAACGAGAAAGCAGTCGAATCAGATAAGGTGGCTTGTCCATGCCTTATAAGCGAAAGAACCCAGATCCCATCAACGATCCAAACACATACTCAGACGATTTCACCTTATCAGGGAGATTATAGACAGAGGAGACGTGCACATTTGCAGAGTGTCGACAGATGACAACATTGCCGATCCATTGACGAAGCCTCTCCCTTCGTCGAAGCATGAGGGTCATGTTAGGGATATGGGCATTAGATGTTTAGCAGTTCATGATTAGAGCAAGTGGGAGATTGTTACTTTAGTGCTCTATGATGTACTGTTTATGAGCTT